TTTTCAGGATTGTATTTATTACAATATCATTCAGTCAAGAGGTGCTGAACCAAAAAATGTATGAGATATTTGCCCAAACATTATTGTCAGCTGATTATTGGTAGAAATGCAAAATTGAACCTGATGCCATGGCAAGCCTTTGGAGGTAGATATAGGCAGATCTCTGTGAGTTCTAGGCCTGCATGGTCTACATAGAGTGTTATAGGACAACAGGCTACATAGAGAGACCATGTCAAGGAAGGAAGAAAAGGAGGAAGGGAGGAAGGGTGGGAGGGAGGGAGGGAGGGAAGGGAGAGGGAGAGAGGAAGAGAGGGTAAATGATTGTCCCACAAAGATCATAGGAAAATACATTGCTTAATATTTTGATTGAATGTTTGTGTTTTGTTTTCATTTTATAAAACATTATTTAAGTTATATTTAAAAATGCAGAAGGCATAAATTATTTTTTCAAATAAAATTTGTTTTTAAAATTCCTCATATATTTAACATGTGGCTAAGTTTAGAATGGGGACATTCTAGGTCTCATATTTTGAATATTAAATAATTAATATTGAACACTTTCCTACATCATGAATGATTTACTTTAGTTATTTATTCTTTGGGTGCTCAGGAGTGGAGCGTAGGGCCTCTAGTACACTAAATATTTACTCTAAAATCGATCTATTTCCCCACAAACTCCATATATATACGTGTGTGTGTGTGTGTGTGTGTTTGTGTGTGTAGTCATACACACACATCCTCTCTTTCACATGTATTTTTAGCATCTTGTCAAAAAGTAGTCAGCTGTAATTTATTTGTGGTCCTTCTATCCTATTCCGTTCATGTTTGTATTTTCATTCCTTCTATTTATTTCTTACCTACCTAAGACCTCAAGCACTATATTGAATAAGTGGAGAGAGTGGACAAGCTTGTGTTGTTCCTGATCTTGTTGGCAATGCTTTGGGGTCTTTCCATTTAATGTGATTCTGGCGATAGCTCTAACATATATAGCCTTTATTATGTTGAGAACTATTCTCTAGTTTCTCCATGCCTTTTATCATGAAGGAATATTGAATTTTATCAGAGGCTTTTTCTGTGACTAATTGTGCAATTTTTGTCTTTGAGTCCATTTATGTGACAAATGATGTTTGTTGTTTGGTTTTTTTTTTTTAGCCAACTTGATCACGATGAACAATCTTTTTGATCTTGAACTAGGTTTGCAAGCATTTATTGAGAAATTCTGTATCTGGATATCTGTATTCAGCAGGAAGACCATGCTGGAGATTTATCTTTTCTTTCATTTTTTTTTGTCTTTATCTGGCTTTGGTATCAGTACAATGCTGGCTTCATTGAAGGAGTTTTGTAACTTTCTTTCCATTTCTATTTTATGCAATAGTAGAGCAGTTTTTGTTTTGTTTTGTTTTTTGGGTTTTTTTGTTGTTGTTGTTTTTGGAGACAGGGTTTCTCTGTGGCTTTGGAGGCTATTCTGGAACTAGCTCTTGTAGACCAGGCTGGTCTCAAACTCACAGAGATCCGCCTGCCTCTGCTTCCTGAGTGAGTTGAGCAGTTTTGATGTTAATACTTTTTGAATTTCTGGTAGAATTTTGGTGAATCCATCTGGCCCTGGGCTTCACCCACCTAGCTTGGGGAAATTTTACTCTGGAAGATCAACAACTGACAACCTCTTATAAAAGCAAGGAGCTCCTGTACAGCAGAGGGAACCATCTGTCCTGTGAAAAAGCAGCTATGGGGCCTGGGGCGGGGGTAATCTTTGGTAGCTATATTATCCTGGGTTGAGGATCAATGGTTAGAGTATAAAAAGAATTTAAAATTTAAACATTAGGAGAGTAAATAAATCAGTAGAAAAATGGGCTTTGAGAGTGAACAAAGAGGTTTCAAAACAATAATGCAAGTAGATAGAGAACACTTACAATTTCAATACCATCAGTCGTAAGGAAAATGCAGATTAAAACCATTGTACCTCATCCTGTCATAAGTGCTGTCACTAAGATGTCAAATGACAACAAACACTGACGTGGATGGGAAAGGCACTTTTACACACTACTCGTGGGAACAGGAAGCTTGTGCAGTTGCTTCAGAAATCAGTCTGAATGATTCTCAAAAAATCAGATAAACCAACTGTGCCACCTTGGACATCACACACACACACACACACACACACACACACACACACACACTATCATACTACAGACATACCTGTTCATCGCTGCTGTACTCACATGAGCTTGGAAATAGAAACAGTTTAGATATGTATCAGCTGATGAATGGTTACTGATTATGGCATGTATGTACAGAGGAATTTTAAATCTGCCTGGGAGTGCATAGAACTGGGGAAAAGTTACATTGATAAGGTCACATGGGCCCAGTGGATCACAAAATGAAACACATAGACAGAAATGTGATAAAGAAATTTATAGGAAAGAAGACAAGTCACAGGGGCTAGGAAGGAGTTAAGAGAGGTTAAGGAAGAGAGCACATGTATAAAGCTATGAACAAATTGCACTAATAAAAATGCATGCTACAATGCCATGATGAATTCAGTATCCTTTTAAAATGAATATATTTACTAATCACATTAAAATTCAATATATTTAAGCACTATTAAATATGCACATAAAATCTATAAATTATTAGGATTACTAATCTCTTAGAAATAATATCACATATGTATCAAATTGGGAATTGCTAATTTGGCTGATGTTTTAGAATAATTTTTTAGTTGAAAAATTGTAACTTTAATTTATTCTCTAACTATTCTGCATGCATTCAAATATGTTTTGTGTCTTTAAGAGGAAATATGATTATACTTTATACTGTGTATTATATTTAAATGAACGATTAATGAAAATTGTTCCTAATTATTTTTAAAAACTTGAATACTATTTTGCGGAGGCAGTGGCAAATCTTGCCTGATGTGTCATGGTGGAGTCATTCTCGAAAAGTAATGGCTACAAAATTGAGTAAACATAGAGCCAATAAAGAAAAGATTTCCTCACACCATGTTAGAAGCCAGCCAGCTAAAAAGCATGTGCTGTGGAAAATTTTGAGAGACCTGTAAGGATTTTCCTCTCATACAGGCATCAGTCACGGAGTGGAAAACCTTCTTCTCCACAAAGGAAGCCACAGTGTTGCCCTTTGCTGAAGAAGTGCTGCCAGTATGACCTCATTACTCTCTCACCCTATTCTTCTTCTTAGAAGAAGGCACAGCACTCTATTTGGTAGAAGAAAGCAGCAACCAGAATCAATGAGTTCCTTTATCTTGCATTTCTTGCAAGTACCTGCCCGAGTCACCATGAGAAGATGGTGATCTGAGCTGATGACTTTTGTGTTTTGCTTTTATTTTTCCAGCACTTGTGCTGTTTTTATTTCCAGCTCTAATCTGTAGGCCCAATGCCACTTTGTAACCTAGTCTCTTTACCTAATTCTGGTTTACTGAATGTGTGACTCCTTTCAATAGCTCACAAAACCACAACCCATTATCAACATTATTTTACTCATAGCTATGTCCAAGAGAAATCCCAGCAAGCTTGCTGCTATTCGCCTTTCCAGCAGATTTGGATCAGCAGAGAAAGCTTGCCCATCTCTAGTCTACTGTTCATGGATTCTTCTGAAGTCATAAATATTGACCAACCACCTCCTAAGAAAGGGTGCTTGCCTGCAGGAGTGGGTACTTTTAGGCAGTATTAAGTTTTTCTAGGCACTGTGGAAAACACACTGCTTATCTTCTGCATGTATTAGCTACTATTAATTCTCCTTCACTTGTGAACCAAGTTAGAGAGAGAGCAGGCTATTCAGGGATCTCCATTCAATGTTCCTAATCCTAACCACTAAAAGAACCAACATTTCCTTCCAACAACAAAGTTTGTGGACATCAAAGGCCTTGAGTGAAGGGAGAGAGAATAACAAAAAAAAAATTAAAGATACTCCTTTTTTCTGACGAGGTAGAAAAAAAATCAAGAAAGGTATTAGCCAAAATTGTTCAAAATCCATTTTCCATCACAATCTGTTCTCATGCAAAATTGATTATTCTTAAGCCCTCGGGAGGAATATAACAAAAAGGAAAAAGGAAAAACAAACAAACAAAAACTACACAACACAAATCTCTATGGACAGATGTGAAAGTAAGAACTACAAATAAAAGTCAAAGTGTAAAAAGTTGATTAACTAGAAGTTCAGGACTGATCTAGAATTCTATGAATCAGCATCCCAAGCCTTGAGATAAATGGACTAAACCTGACTAGTTCCTCATGAAGGGCACCCATTCCCCCAAGTACAACTCCGTCAACAGCAGACACATGCTGAGTTGTCCAGCCTGGAAGAGGTGAGCCCATTTGTCTGACAAAGCCTTGAGAGCTGAGCTAAGGACTCACATTTGTTCACATTTGAGACAGGTCTTCTCCCAAAGGCACGGAGAAGTCGTTGAAGGTGTTTGTATAAAGCAGTGCTGGATTAAGGCAAAGTTTGGAGTGGTCTACTCAACAATTTGCTGATAGATAGCAAATAGGACAGAACAAAAAACAATACAGGTATTTGTTTATAATTACTAGACTTTGAAGTGATAAATGTCAGAATCATGTTGGAAGCTGAGGACCTGAGGAAGAAGGCAGGTGTGAGGGTGAGAGGCATTTCCCGACTTTGGAAGAGGAACAGAGCACTCTAGCCGCTGACAGGCTTCAAGTATGTTCCCAGACAGGGTGTTATTCCAGCCCTAAATGGGCAAGTCACACACTCAGTTCTCCAAAAGTATGTGCTGGAAACACCAGCCCTGACTGCAACAGTCACCCACAGCACCTAAAGCCACCCACTACCCGGTAGATGACCCCACTAAGCAAACCAACCCATCTGGTCCAAGCTCCCCACCTCCTCATGCTTGAGTCCAAGACAGGGAGGATGGAAAAATTTGGGGAGTAGTCCCAGGCTCACTAGAAGGACATTCATTCTTCAAACCCCTCCTCTCAGGTATTCCTGAGAGGGAGGATGACATCTGGCCAGTCCTCAGCCGGCCACCACTCCTCCCCCGGGAGCCGGAATTAGGAAACTCTGGACAGCCCGCTAGTAAGTCCTTGCGTGCTGAAGCGTCTCCCCAGACTTATAAAGGTCGCTGTGTCTGGCGGTTGAGCTCACTTGCCTGGCGGCCTCAGAGTCACAGACACTTGCTTGGATCCAGTCCCTGGGTCAGTCCCGCTCCAGCTCAGCTGCAGGCTCCTGAATCCAGCCGGCTGACCCTCACGCTGAAAGCTGCACAGAGAGAGGAGAATGGAGACGCTCTCTGCCGTTCGGGTACTGGCGCTGCTCTGCCTGGGTAAGCAAAGAGAAGGGAACAGCCCCCGTGTATTTGCATTTGTCATAGGACAAGTACAGAGTTGTCCACCAGGTTCAAGTGCACTCTGTCTTAAGAGCATGACTTCTGTGAGTGTCTTTCCTGCTGGCAGGATTGGAGAGGTGCGTGTCCGATTAATGCTAAAATTGCATTTCATCAAGAAATTCATTGCTGGCATACGCTCTGAGTGAATTAATCTCTCTTTTACTGGTCAAAAAAAAGTTGAAAAGGGTTTTGTTTTGTTTTTCCTTTTGAAAATGCAGCAATTTTAGAACACCAAAGGTATGGAAAACTTCTCTGATACTGTTTTACTTTCTTGAGATGTGGCAGGTAGAGATTGGATCAGTCTCAGCCCATTAGAGACCTTTGTGCAAAGGACTCTGTTTACAACCAGGGACCTCTGGGATGTGCCTGCAGGGCGCTGGGGCCCAGGAGACCCCAGCAGGTCCTGAAGGAAGCTGCCTAGAGACGTGTCATCTGCAGCTCCCCCCAGCAGTACCTGCCTTCCCCCAGGGAGTCCGGAAAGCAAAGCTCTAGGCTACCTGCCAGAAGCCTGTAGGGTTTTTTTGTTTGTTTGTTTGTTTGTTTTGTTGTTGGTGTTTCATTTTGTTTGGTTTGTTTGTTGTTTTGTTTTTTGGTAGTTTTCTTTTCTGAGTTGAGTTACCTCTTGGGGACAGGGGACAGGGAGATCCATTGTAAACTTCTCTCTCTCTCTCTCTCTAAATATATATATATATATATATATATATATATACATATATATATATATATGTTTCTCTCTCCCCTTTATCTCATTTAATCACTTTCCCCTAATTTCTTAAACACCAGATGATTTTAGAGCTATATATGAACTTTCCCAATATACAAACATTTTAATAAGGAAATAAAAGTTGCCAGTCTGGCCCTGCTTCCTGAACTTGCTATGAGATAAATGCTCCTGAGACACACTATCTGTGCAGGATGTGACAGTTAAATTATTTCGACACACCTTATAGGGGTTGGGAGCCCTAATGAAGTGCATAGTTAGAACTTACACATCTAAATGCAAGAACCCAACTAGAAACTGGATCCGTGGTTTCTGCCAAAACAGAGTTAAGAATGTCTTGCCAGGAGAGTCACTGTAAACAATGCAGCTTTGCCATCTTTGTGTTGAGGTGTCTGTGAAAAGGATAAACTCAGAAGGGTGGCGGCCTTCCTCGAGTTAGAAATGAACCTAAAGGTCACAGTGGTGTAGGTTTTTTTTTTTTAAAACCTTTTTCCCACTTGCAAGGTGTCTCAGAACAATGGAAGTATCTGTTCTACACATCTCGGTGAATATTCTAATGTGAGACAGCAAGAGCCTATGAATGACCTGGTTGCTACCCACCTAGTGCGTGTGTGTTGTGTGTGTTTTTGTTGTCATGAAAGTGCTTAGCTCCTTTATTGCAGCACTTAATTATAGTTCACCTATTTCATCAGCTGCCAAGCCCATTTCCAAATGAGCTAGGTCAGTTTCTGTTTTCCCAGTCTGTTGAGATACTTCTTGCCTCTAGAAAAGTTCCTGTTTGAAGTTCTATATTGTATCACTCTAGTCTGGTATGCAGCTCTTATTGTTTGATTCCATAGCATATAGGAAAAAAAGAGCAAGACCATCTATAATGTCAGAATGTGTGCCCTTCCCCAAAGAAAAAGATTGTCTAGAAATCTGAGACTTCGGCCCTCAAAGGAAAGTGATATTTTAGATTGAAGCAGACTTTTATTGCTATTGTGGAATGTCTGTGTGTTTATGATTGTGAGAGTAAAGTTCTACAGTCTATCCCCAATGCATACAGCTTAAGTAGCTACATACAGTCAGTTATCTAACTGCTATTATATCTTATAAATGTTTGATATCAGTGCTCTTGTTTCATGCAAAAAGAAACTGACCCAAGTTCTCTTACAAAATAGATGATAAGCTGAGAGAGGTCAGGTCTAAGTTGACTAACAGTTACAGTTTAATGGACCTTAAGTGAAAGATGGAAACAGCCCAGTTAGGGATGATTTTCTGAATAATCTGTAATTTTACAGTTGAATTAGCCTTCTGACCTTGTGATTTTTTTCTAGAGATAGGAAGAGGCATCGGGGTTTTGACCTCTGCAGTTATGCATACAGATGCTCTATTTGAAGTCATACATTCTCACTCATGTTTGAAATGGGTTTCTGAGGATATTCATGAGGGAAGACAGTTGGCCTGACTTTATTATGTGGTGAGAGAAGTAAGCAAAGTAGATGGTCTCTCTCAAAAGAGATGAGAGCAGAATCTCAGCAAGACAATGGGCTTGCAGTCTGTTGGCCCAGAGAGTTTATGATATACACATCTCTTGGAATAACCTGAGAAGACACACCTGGGCAATAAGCATGCTGGCCGTACTCCCCTATCTGGATTTTGGCCCAGGTATCCCAGGTGTCTTCTGCATTGTCTTGCCACGTGAGCATCTTAGATAGTTGGAGTGTCTGGTTCAGTACTGGAATCCAAATCCAGGAGGTGGGACACAAGCCAGCTATTATCAAATGCCTGGTGAACACCAGCCATGCTTTGTGTTAGGCATCTTAAACCCCAATCACTTTGTTTTACCCTAGAATTCACTAAATAAGGCCAGATACAATGGTGCACTTTTGACAAATACAGACACTAGGCCTCAGAAAAGTCAAATACCTTACAAAGACTTTGAGACTTGGGGAAAACAACAAATTTCCAGGTCACTCTTTGGCAGTTGTAAGCAGTTAGTGAGGTCCAAAGGCTAGTGGGAATAATCAAAATAGCAGGTTCTAACAGAGACACTTCAGTGTTAACTAGGGCTGCCCCAAGGCCTGGAACCTGTTCTAAGTGAAGCTTGTACATCTAAGTGGGCTTGCTGACCTCTCCTGATGCAGAACTGAGCAGAGAAAATACATATCTATCCTTTTTAACCTGGGCTAAGGAAGATGACCTTTTACATAATATTCAGATTTTTATCTACATAATTCTTAGATATGAGCTTCGTTATAAAGTAGTCATTGAAGCTGACTTCATGTTCTGCCTCTTATTTTTCCAAAACATATATCTAGGTAGGCAGGAAGAGGTTGTCTTATATTTTTATTCCTCGAAACTGTGTAATTGTGGATTTTTCTGTCCAGTTTTGTGAATCTCCCATTTTCTGAGAAGAGAAACAAATGTGAGGAGTCCTCTCTAAGAAGACTGTAAATGAAGGTGTGGCTTCCTCATTTGCACTCTAAATATAGGTGTATGCAAATTGTCTATTAATATGGCTGTAACTGCTGTCAGGAACATTGCACTGGAAGACAATGGGAAGGTTGGCTTCCTGCCAGCCATCACCTTGCTATGGAAATGCAAGCCTAAGACATTTTTTTTTTTAAATGAGGCAATGCAATAGACTCAGTGTCCTCTGGCATTATGGATTGTGTAAGACTGGGTGTCTAGTTATGAAGCAGTTAAAAGTTCAGTTGCATTCTAGGTTAATGTAATGATTTAATTAACTAGCATACTATCTCTAATATATAAGATCATCTGACATTTGTTCCTAAAAAACGATGTCAGTGCTCAGCCTCTTAGGTCAAAATTGTGAATTTTAAATATGAGATATGAAAGTTTTTAACTCGTAAGCTTATGTGTACATACACAGCTAATGTTTACAGAATCTCAGTGCTTCTAATTGAAAGGCTTAGTGATGCCGCACACATGCTGCCATGGTGCCCACCTCTTTCTCTGGTGCTGATCTCATCATACCTCAGAGTAAGACTCTATCTAAACAGGTTTAGCGGGGACATAATGGAAGTAACAGGTGATGTTAAATAACAGTGTTGTCTGGGTTCATAATTAGATTGAAGCCTTATCTAGTTCTCACCACTACACTTTGATTTAGCCAGTGATTGTTTAGATATGTACTTGAGACACAAGATATCTTGAGATTGATTGACAGTTTCTGAAAATCCAATGTTGGCTCCAATTAAGCTTAGTATAATTCTCCACACCTTGTATCCATGTTTCTCTGTTATAGACTATGTTACAGATAATATGTCTACCCAACTTCATGTACATCTGTACTGTGAGAGTATGTGTGTGGAGAGGGAGAGGGAGCAGAGGGAGGGGGAGGGAGGAAGAGAGGAAGGAAAAGAAGAAGGGGGTATTGAACGGTGATGAGACTGAATAATGATAACCAATAGGAAAGTAAGGAGTAATCTAATCAAACATCGCACTTCCCTCACTCCCTGCTCTCTGTTTCTAGAGATAAGGAATTTCTTAGTAGGGGGATAAAACAAACGGAGCTAGAACTGGAGCCTGTATCTTGGGAGACTGGTGAAGGATATTTCAGACTGGACTAATTCTCTGTGGTGGACTGATCTGAGCATTGCAGGGTGTTTAGCAGCAAACCAGGATTCTACCTACTAGATGTCAGTAGTAACTCCTGCTGTGACAATCAGAAACCCCTCTAGACCTTGTCAAACATCCTTGGCTGATAAAATTGCCCCTGATTGAGAACCACTAATCTCAAGAGGTAATAATATTCTCTTATTATCAACCATAATTCACAGATTGAATTACCAAGACAAAGAACATTCATATTAGTAGTAATCTAGGTATCAGTTCTAGTGTTTTAAAAATCATTTTTGGGAGTTCCGTGCATGAGCAAAGTCCTGTTTGGTCTTGGCACCAAAAGACCCATCAGCTCAGCGATGTCCTTTGCTGGTTTTAGCAGCACTTGAATCCTATTCACACAGGGGTTGTGAGAGCCTTCTTCAGTCATTGCACAGGTGGCCCCTGCTCTTCCTGTTACACCCCTGCCCAATCACAGTACTAAATCTAACCCTTTCCTCCAATTTATTTTTCTCTTTCCTTGACCATTTCTGTCTGTCTCTAATAATAATTCCCCAACTTTCCATTTTTCATCCATACTGTTTAATTGGAATATGTAAGAGGCTTTACATACATATAATAATATCTCATTTGACTTTCAAATAGATGC